AGCTTGGACTCATGGTGAGCCTCCTGTTTTCAGCCTCCCTAGCACTGGGATTATAGGCATGCACCACCATGCTGAATCTTAGGCTGGCCAGCGCCACCTGTGCTGGGGATTGAACCCCAGTCCCTGTGCTTACCTAAGCAGGCATTAGTCCACTGAGTTATTTTGCCAGCCCTTATTTTGTATTTAAAAAGAAAAAAATGTAGCTTCACTGCAAGTGAGTAGAGTTCAGGATGGTCCTTCCAGCCCCTGGCCACCGAGCTGAGTCACCAGGGGCCTGTTACTGATATTGCCTCATCTGATGTCATGAGCCAGATAGGAAGCACACAGGTATATGTGCGTAAGGTGAAGGAAAGTCTTTCCTGCTTTCTGTAGTAGAAATAAGAAAAGCAGGTTAAACTCAACACTAGAATGCTAAAAGGGGGCCATGTGTGGTCTTGGATTGGTGTCACATGTGTCAGGGCTCATGGTGTCACAGCTCATGGCTCTGTCTGCATTATGTGTCCCAGGTGCTAATTGTTTATGGTGTCTCACTGGTTAGGTCAGAAATACACAGAGTTTGGGGCTGCTGGAAAAGTGTGAGTAGTGGCCTAGCAGGCGGTTGGGATTGAAAGTATTGCCCACTTAAGAAAAGCTCCAAAAAAAAAAAAAAAGAAAAGCTGCTTCAGAGTCCTTGTGATTCTTGTTACTGGGAAGGAGAGACTGGAGAGACAGAAAGAGGTGGGGCCTGGCACACTCACCAGGAGGTGGTACCCGGCTAGGGTCCTGGTTGCTGCTAGGGTCAGGGGTATAAATTAACTGTAGAGCAGTCCTTACCTTCAGGGTAGAGAAGGTCAGTGTGTGTTGACCTGGACAGAATGAGAACATACCCATGAGACAGTTTTGTGGTTGTACAAGCCAATGTCTGACTAAGCCCCGTCTGAGTCTCTTGCTTCATGGTTAAGTGTGTAGTACAGGTGCTAAGATGTGTTCTGAGGCAGCAGACCAAGGAAGCACTGAGGAGGTGGCCAATGAAGGCTTGGAGCAGGAGTACTTAAGACCCAGAGACGAAGGCGAGAGGATCCTAGTGTGAGCACCAGGGCAGACAGGGTTCCAAGAAGAAAAACTAAGACAGGTCGGAGTTTGGACTGTGAAGAGCCTGTGGACTCTGCATCTGGACATAACTGGCAGGCTTAGAAGCTAGGCCCTCCTGGGCGCATTGAGAGAGGGGAGCGTTAGTAGGGGAGGAGAGCTGCCACAGGAAGGTCTGTGAGATGTACAAGAGTTGGGCTTCTCAGGTTTCAGTCAGGACTTGTGTGGAGAGGAGCTGAGAGGTGAGACTGGAGTTGGCCTTTTAGAGCTGCTGCTGAGCCTGTCAGAGGGGAAATGAGCGTGATGCCCAGTGTGAGACCAGCACTCCGCACGAGCCTACCTGCGGGGTTCGCACCTGACAGGTAGAAGGTTATCGTGGTCAGGAAGAGGAAAGGAAGATTGCAGTAAGGATAAAAAGAGCCTCTGTTTTCTTGGGGAAGTGGGTGACACTGTGTGGTAGGATGGGCTGACCTGAAACTTGTGGATGAAGACAGAAGCTTCTCCAGGGGCGCTTAGTTAGAGTCAGTGAGTGCGTTGAATTCATTGCCTACTGGACAGTGGGCCACGTTCCACGGTTGGGAGTTCATGCTGGGGAGTCTGTGCCAAGGTGTTGGGTAGGGAGTGGTGTCACTGTGGTAGCTGATAGGCAGCACAGGTAGGTGCCATGGGGCTAGCCAGGATGTCAGAACAGGGTGCAAAGCCAGCAGCTGCTGCGAAAGTGATGAAGGCAGGTCATGGAGAAGAGGAGGAATGGATGCTGTCACAGTCACGTGGGTTGTCTTCCTATGATGTTCTTACCATAACGACAGGTGAATAGTTTTGTGGGGTTTTTTGGGTTTTTTGTTTTTTTAAATGTTGGCTTTCTTTTTTTTTTTTTTAATTAATTAATTTATTTATTTTGTGTGTGTGTGTGTTTGTGGCCAGCTCAGCCCACCAGGGGGCGGGGCTGGCTGGCATGTGGTGCTGGGGATTGAACCGCGGTCCCTGTGCTTTTGCTTAGCTTGTTCTAAGTAGGTGCTTTAGACCACTAAGTCATCTCACCAGCCCATGTTTGTTTGTTTTTTGAGGTACCAGAGATTGAACTCAGGACCTTGTGCTTGCCAGGCAAGCGCTTACTCTCCTGAGCTATCTCCCAGGCTGGGACAGGTGAATAGTGAGGTAGAGAGAAGCGCAGGATTGTTCGGGGTTCTTTGGAGAATAGATTGCAAGGAAGGACACCTAGGATGTTGGTGACTGGAGTGGAGTGAAGGGTGGGAGAGACCTTGGAGGTGAGGAGGCCAGAAGATAGAAGGCTGTGAAGAGAGATGGGGCAGTCTCTTCCCCTGAGATGGTGAAGCCCTCAGGACCAAGGTCGGGACTAGCTTGGATCTGTGCCGCTGCCTAGGAGCCCACCATGCCTAGGGTACCAGCCCTCTCTGGGCAGAGCGATGGGGCGGAGGCAGACATGATCTCCAGCAGCCTCTGTCAAGTGTCCCGTGGTCCCCTGCCCTAGTCACCACCTTCTACGTGGGCTGGCAGGCGGGGGATGAGATCTGAGGTCTGAGGGGCTACTGCTTTTCACAGTGTCCTGTTGTCCCTGTCCTGTTCCCCAGTCCCTGAAGAGGAAGGAGAAGGAGTACGAGCATGAGATGGAACGGCTAGCACGGGAGAAGATCGCCACACAGCAGCGGCTGGCAGAGCTCAAACATGAGCTTAGCCAGTGGATGGATGTGCTGGAGATTGACCGTGTGCTCCGGCAGACAGGCCAGCCTGAGGATGACCAGGCTTCCACCTCAACAGCCTCTGGTGAGCCCTGGCCCCTACACTCCTCCCACCATTCTCAGGGGTTATCCCTACTGTGGATTTTGTCCCTGGGCCATTGTCCCTTGTCTGGGTTTTTGCCTGCTAGAAAATACATCCCCTGCCCAGTCCCCAGGCCCTGTGCCTCTGACCACTTGTACCCAAGCCCTTCCAGCATGCTCCCGGCCCATGTTTCCCACAGAGGGTGAGGACAACGTAGATGAGGACATGGAGGAGGACCGCGCAGGCGTGGGCCCACCCAAGCTGAGCCATCGGCCCCCGCCGGAGCTGCTGAAGTCTGCTCTGCCTCCCCCCAGCGCTGCCCCAACGCCTCTGCCTCCCCACCCGCACCCGCACCCAGTGGCGCTGTCTCCTGCCCATCTGCCCGTGCAGCAGCAGCCTCCGCAGCAGAAGACCCCTCTGCCAGCTCCTCCTCCCCCTCCGGCCACCCCAGCCCAGACACTGGTTCCAGCTCCTGCTCATCTGGTGGCCACAGCTGGGGGTGGCTCCACAGTCATTGCCCACACAGCTACCACCCACGCCTCAGTCATCCAGACTGTGAACCATGTTCTGCAGGGGCCGGGTGGCAAGCATATCGCCCACATTGCCCCCTCAGCCCCCAGCCCTGCTGTGCAGCTGGCACCTGCCACGCCCCCCATTGGCCACATCACCGTGCACCCTGCCACCCTCAACCATGTGGCCCACCTCGGCTCACAGCTACCCTTGTACCCGCAGCCTGTGGCAGTGAGCCAGCCTGTGGCGGTGAGCCACATTGCCCACACACTCTCACACCAGCAAGTGAATGGCACGGCTGGGCTGGGTCCCCCAGCCACCGTCATGGCAAAGCCAGCTGTGGGGGCCCAGGTGGTGCACCACCCCCAGCTGGTGGGCCAGACAGTGCTCAACCCTGTGACAATGGTCACTATGCCCTCCTTTCCAGTCAGCACGCTCAAGCTGGCTTGAGGATGGGCCACTCAGAGGCCCCCAGTGGGGGCAGGAGGGGGCACCTGTCCCCCAGTCTCCCACCCACCAGCTCCACACATTCCAGCCAGGCCCATGCCCGCCCCACCCACACCACCCCCAGGCCTCCTAGGGGAAGGGGGTGCAGAGACTCTGAGCCAGGGGAGGGAGGCGGCCCCCCAGGGAGTTGGGTGCAGGCAGAAGGCTACCCTGCCACACCAGGACTTAATAAGAATGACTGATGAAGACGCTCGTGGACGTGCCACCTGTCCAACCTGGTGCCAGCTCCATTGCCGCTCCTGCCTCCCTATCCTGTACCCTGAAATCAGTGCGAAGTGGTGTCATGTTCCCTGGCTTCTCCCTGCCCTGCCCGCCTTCCTGTGCTGCTGCTGCTGCTGCTGCTATTGCTGTGTCTGGTGAGGTGACTGATTGCCCCCAGGCCTTCCCTCTCCAGCCTCAGCGTTCTAGGCCTTTGGATGGGGAGCAGGGGACACAACAGAAGCCACTTGGCTAGAAGGCTAGGTGGAGATGGGGTTGATGAGGGCCTGCTTATGAGTGCTGGTGACAGATCCCAAGAGGTGGCTGGTCTGCCCAGGCCTGCACAGTCACTGTGATTTGTTACAGTAGAAACTACTTAAAAACAGTTCTCTATGAACAATAAACAAACCCCAAGCTGTTGCCAAGCTTCCCAACCCCTGCTGCTGGACTCTTGGCCTCCTGAGGGCAGGCTGAGGCTGGAGCTCAGGAAGGTGGGGCTTGGCTATCATGTTTCCCAACTGTTCCTGCAGCCTGGCTTGGGAGGAGCACTGCTCTGGAACTCTGTCCTAGTCTTTAGGCTTGTCATTTCACCTCTCCAAGGTAGTAAGGAGGTGCCACCTGGTGTTCAATCTCCTGGTTCCCCTATGTCTGCTGTGTGGCTCATTTCCTAAGGAATGAGGCCATGGACCCCTGTCCTCCAGCTTGGAGGCTGGGACCAGCAACTGGTCCTGGTCCCAAAAGCTGGGAAGACACATTGTTGAGACATGAGGAGTTAAGATGCCAGTGTTGGGCAGAATCCCTGAGCTCTCCCTAAACATCTGTAGAAATGGGGTGGGCCAAAGTGGGGGGTTGGCAAGAGGGGTGCCTCGTGCTCTGCTTGTGTCACCACCTTCCCCAGATACCCATTTCTGTAGTGAGCATGTTTTAGGGTCTCTCCTTGGTGTGAGGAAAGGACCTTACCAGGGCCAAGGACTGGGCTGAGCTTGGGGTAGAAGTGAGAGGTCCTGTCCCGGGAAGCGCTATGGTCCTTGCCTCTGCAGACTGCTTTGGCTTTTTATGTGGATATTTATTACAAGTGGCCTTGTGTCAGACACTCAGTTACACGCACGCATGCACATTCAGCTCCCCACTGGACACTCACATATGGCCTTTCAATGTAGGGGGAGGACACCAGTGTTCTAGATGTGGAGTTTGCACTTTTAGGGGGGAGGCGAGGGGACCAGGAGGGGAAAAACTCCGCATCCTCTGGAGTGCCCTGCTGGCAGGCACTAAGGAGGCCGGCAAAGGCCTTGAACACATTCTCTTGAAATAAGGACTCCTTCAGGCCTAAGAGCTCCCTGTTCTGGAGACTTCCCAGGGGATGTCTGTCTCTCCTGAGGTGGGGAAAGGGCAACCTGAGATTAGGTCTCCACTGTGCTGCCCCAGCCCAACAACCTCAGACCCCCATGCTGGCTGCCTTCCTGTAGCTGCAGCCACCTCCACTGACACCTTGGCTCTGGGGCCGGTTTCACTGTCCTTGTGACAATGGAAAGCAGTCTGGTGCCGGCAGTCAGAGCACTTTGGGGAAACTGCCCCCCCCACCTCTCCCTGCGTCCTGAGGCCAGTTCCAGAGTTCAAACCACCGTGTTGGCCAGTCGCCCTCAGGCCGCACAGATACCTCATCATCCACCTACTCTTCCCCCATGCCCTGGCCCCCAGCGGGGGCATCCAAATCTAGTGCCGAATGACTATGTCCAGATTGGTGACGATGGGTGTTGTTGCTGTTGTTTTTGTTGTTTGTGAACGCTGTGATGCTGTGTGCCCACTTGGGCAGCCACCTCCCAGCCCTCCCTTGGGCATCTCCCCTATGAGAGCTGTTAGGACCATTATCTGTCCTCACCCTATGGGATCGCCTGGCCCTTCCCTCCCTAGCCCTTCCAGCCTGGGATGGACAGACAGACACACACAACCTTACCTCTCATGCTTGTACTTAACCTTTGGTGTTCAGAGTGGCTCACTGGCTGGGAGTCTTTACCTCGGGGAGGGGGGGGAGGGTGGTTCCTTGGGGGGCCAAAGAAGGGCAGGGATGCCTGGAGTGTAACGGGTCACCAAAACCCCTGCTCTCTGAAAACAGCTGCTTCTCCCCCCATCCCAGGGTCCCATCCCCGACCCCCAAAGAGGTGGCCCTTGTTTACAGTGAGGACTCGGTCACTGTGTCTTCGTTTCCTGAAATATAAACTGTAGCGACCCCAGACTGTAGAGATTTTTATGTGTTTGGATACATCTGCTGTGTGGGAAAAAAAAAAAAAAAAACCATAATTTTGTACATATTGTATTTTTACTATTGAACTGTATTCTAGTGGCTGTTCATGCTCCAAGACTTTAGGTATTGAGACATGAATACTATCCATGTAATAAGCACTTGCCTGGAATAAAATATAAAGCTGAAATAAACCTGCACTGAAATCTGAAATGGAGCTGTAATCCTGCAGCACTTGGGTCATTTTATTGGTTTTATTTTTATTTTT